ACTGTAATTTTCCCCGTTATAGCTTAACGTTGCCTATCCGGCTAATGGCACTCAAAAATGCCTCGAAATCGATGATGACCTCAAGCTTCGACCTTTCTACGACAAGCGCATGGCTACCGAAATGCCGGTTGATTTCCTCGGTGACGAGTGGAAGGGTTACGTCGCCAAAATCACGGGTGGAAACGACAAACAAGGTTTCCCAATGAAGCAAGGCGTACTGACAAACGGACGTGTACGTCTTCTGTTGAGCAAGGGTGCCTGCTACAATCCGCGCCGGAAGGGAACTAGGAAGAGGAAGAGCGTGCGCGGATGCATTGTTGATAGCAATCTCAGCGTTTTGAATTTAGTTCTTGTCCGAAAAGGCGAGGGCGATATTCCCGGGCTCACAGACGTCGTATTGCCAAGAAGATTGGGCCCTAAGCGAGCATCAAGGATACGAAAGCTCTTCAACTTGAGCAAGGAGGATGACGTTCGTCAATATGTTGTGAGGAAGCCCCTGCCGGAGAAGAATGGCAAGTTTATTTTTCCTGCTCACTGTATTTTGTAGGCAAGAAGGCCCGTACCAAGGCTCCCAAGATTCAGCGGCTCACGACACCTATCCGCCTCCAGAGAAAGCGAAGGCATCGTGCTCTTAAGCAGCGGCGTATTGCCATTCGCAAGCAACTGGAAACGGACTATGCCAAGCTTATTTCCATCCGACGGAAACAAGCTCGTGATGAGAGGAGACGTTCTCGCAGTCGCTCCCTACGTGAATCCAAGACTACTTCTCAGAATTGAATGTCATTGATTTGGAAATAAAGGTCGCGGTATAAATCCTCTCTTCTGGCACAAAAGCGTATGCTTTGGTAAACTGACGAAATACGACCCGTCTGGGTTTTTTGTCCAGCAGTTGGGTGGCTTGCATATTTTTTCTGGGATGTTCATACGTCATCCTTCACGATAAGCTGTTTTAAGGACACTTCTCTACACTAATTGTACTTAAGCATGTCTAAGATCATAAGGCCAAGTTTCACAACAGAAATCCGTCTGACTAAAGGGCATTGTATCGAAGCGGAGAGTTGAGGTATATAATGATTCCAGCTAACAGTTGTGTGGTGGGACGAACCGCATCTGGGCCTCTCACAATGTGCCGTCTGGCAGTCGTTACTACTGCAGGTTATTACTGCGAACTCGACGGTTTTAAGTGGCTTTCCCAAGTTGCTAGCTCCGTTCTTTTAGTTTTATTTGCCCTTTTCGATAGTTGTGGTCCCGCGGTTAGTGCTACTATGCTGACAATTTCTTGTCATGATCGTTCATGACGTCGATGAAAGGCGATTGAGTTCGCGGAGTATTAAAACTTTGTGCCTTTCCGTTGAGTTAGTCGACGGTTTGGTCTCCTTGTGAATCAATCTTTTTGTGATACAGCTGCTTACTTCTAGTGCCTTTGCGAATGCTGAGTTGAAGCCTAGTAAACTTAGGATTTACTATGCTGATCGGCTGAGCTTGCATTAATGCGCGCCCCAGTAAGCGGGCTGTTTCGCCGCCAGTAGGCGCGGCCTTTGTTATTTGGCCATCAGGGGTAGTAGACGTGTCCCCTGTTGTATTACCACTTGGTACTTGTGGAGGTGCATCCAGTTTTGTTTTGTTGGCGGTATAGACAGTGCTCTTTGAATACTTCAAGTTTTCACCGAACGACGAATCGTCCTTCACTTACACCATGCAAGGCGAATCGCACCCTATAGTCAGTGTTTCGGGTCGTCCAGGGCGTTCCTATTTTGCACAGGCCGGTCTTCTTGAGATCAGGTTGTTGGGTTGCTCTCATCCGGCGGCTGTTAGACTATAAAAAGTGCCTGTGTCCATTAGTCCTAGGGGAATCGCTCATTTCTGGTCGGCCGGTGTTCTGTCGTGCTTTGACTGATGTTAAGCAAAAAATAACTGCACTTCCAAGTTTGTCCGTAGGCCAGCTACTTCCAATCCAGAATTTCGTATTAAAATACCTGGGCTTGATATCCAAGAGCAGTTACTCATGTCAGCCCATCCAACCTGTTTCAATTCGTGCACTCCTGGCCTTTATCGAGCGTTGTATGCTGGTGTGAAGCTGTTTTTTCTTACGAATCCTCACAGCAATAGGCCAGATGGCTAGTCGGTCCCGGGGGTCAAGAACCCCGAACAAATGCACCCCACCAACCCGCGGGACACCTGATCTGTCTTCAAGTAGTAGAACGGTCTTCAGAAGAGAGCAGCTGAGGAATAAATAACCCCTCTGCTCTGACGGTATGCCGTTTATGGGACCCGTGACTAGTGCCGCGGGACGTGGTCGGCCATCTATCTGACATATGACATTATTGTAAGAAAAATTGTGTTAAGACCACGAATGCGGGTTGTCATTCAGTAAATATGTCTCCGTCACCGTGAATCCATTTGGTGACTGGGTGGGACATACCTCGCTTCTACTATCGTCCTACAGATCTACTTTAGCACGTCTAAATTACACCATAGGGCCTATGACCAGTTCAATCGGCGTTTCTACGGAACTAAGTGACCAAAAGTTTTTTAAACTTTCCGACACCGATCTAGCATGTTCTGCTCGCCCTGCCGACCGCATGGCTTCCATGTTTTGTTTGCCGTGATATCCCAGAGTTAGGTGTGCGTCATGTTTCTGTCCAAGGCCAAGAAAGTTTATTGCTGAAGGTTGCATTTTTTCCTTTATGCCGGGACTAATGCGTTATATATCTGTCGAGGTCTGCTTACTATATCCTCATAAGTATATCCATGAAAAGCACATTTAACTATGCATCTAAGGTGGCGGTGCACACTTAACCTTGTGGTTAGCTTATGAAAAAGTGGCCTTTGCAAATTTACAGGTTATCCGGATGTCTCCTCGATCCGCACAGACAATATGTCGTATCTTCTCATTGGCTCTAAAACAGAAACGCCTGCAGAGTGGATGTGCTCAAGCCCACATCCCCGTTATGGCTCAAGAGGTGATCGAACATTTGAATCCTAAATCCGGCCAGGTAATTTTACCCTTTAAGATGAAAATTTTGATAGGCCATTATGAAGGTGAAGAACAGATGCTTGATCGCAAATGAAAGACCTTCATTTATCCGCTTCATGCCTTTTTTAAAA